GAGCAGGCTTGGGCTTGTGGTGCCCTGATACCTGCCCCTTGTTGCCATGAGGTGCCTCCTGTCCCCTGTTGATCCATTCAGTCCCTGTTGGAGTTGCCCTCCTCCAGGGCCTTCTCCTTCCTCTTCTCAGATCCCCTCTTCCCAGCCGCCCCTCCTACTCGTCCTGTGCACTGTGCCTCTCCCTCGCCTCCCCTGCTTCTCCTGACTCCTCTCCTGCTGTTCCCAGTCTCCTCTCCTGATCTCTCTCTCCACCCTGTTCCCTCCTCATCTTCCTCATCCTACCTCTTGCCTTCTGTCTCTCTGTCCCCCAGGCCTCCTGCCAGAAGAGCTCCTGACCCCCACCCTCTACCATGGCTACTATGTCCGGCCTCGGGCTGCCCAGGCCGGGGAGGGCGGCAGGGCAGGGGCCTCCGAGCTTAGGCTCAGTGAGGGCAAGTTCCAGGCATTTCTGGATGTGAGCCACTTTACCCCAGATGAGGTGACTGTGAGGACTGTGGACAACCTGCTGGAGGTGTCTGCCCGGCACCCCCAGCGCCTGGACCGCCATGGCTTTGTGTCTCGAGAGTTCTGCCGCACCTACATCCTGCCTGCTGATGTGGACCCCTGGCGGGTCCGAGCAGCTCTCTCTCATGACGGCATCCTTAACCTGGAGGCGCCTCGAGGGGGCCGACATTTGGACACAGAAGTGAATGAGGTCTACATCTCCCTGCTGCCTGCACCTCCTGACCCAGAGGAAGAGGAGGAGGCGGCCAGAGAGGAGCTCTGATCAACACAGGGCCAAGGCCGGCAAGTCCCTTTCTCCCTCCAGCGGTGATGTGGGAGCTGCCCGCCACCCCAGAGGTAGCAGCATCTTTGGGGAAAGGGAAAGGCCCCTGGCCACAATGTATGGTTTGGTCCCTTGGGACATGTCATAGCTTTTGGTTTAGTTTTGGGTGGAGCTGAATAAACCCAAATCTCAGGGCCTTTTGTGCTGCTCCCTATTCTGTGGCCTGGAGGACGGGATGGGAATGAAGGGAGGAGGTCACAGCCAGCTAGACAAAAACCTCCTCAGTTAGATATGCCCAACGTCACAACACCCTGAGCTCACACTTGGATGCTGAGATCACACCCGGAAGCTGACACTGGCTCCAGATCAAATTCCTAGCCATAATTTTCTCACAATGCAACAAAAGAGAGAGTGATCCTGGGAGGGAAAAGGGATATGCCATCCAAACAGCCCAGAGGGCACTGTCTGAGCTGGTGATTAGAGACACAAAAACAAGGGTCTCCAGACTGTCTGGCCCTTTTTGGGTAGGGGCTGGGAAAACGGTTTTTGGCTGGAGAGAGTTGCCTAAAGCCCTGGTATGAATGCTTTGTTTTCCCATACTAAGGGCTGTCCACTGAAATTGCCTCTAATTCTGAGGGTCTGAGTATGTGGACACAGGGACACAGACACAGAAGCCTCTACCATTATCTCTGAACACCATCTTTCCATTCGCTGCACAGAGAGGTCCATGAGAGGAAGTCTATTTCTGATTTAGAAAATCCCAAAGAGAGGAAGCACTTCATCACCCACCTAATCCAACGCTGAATGCAGGGACTGAGGACTGTTACTGTGGCAGGGGTGGCCAGGGAAGCTGTTCTTAGAACTGTAGTCTTAATACTGGGGATGTGTTCAGGAAAGCCTGGGGTCTGCCCCCTCAATTATTCTCTGTGACCAAAAAGAGCACACAGGTATATAATTTGGGACTGTCCAGAAGACCTCTCTGCTCCACAATATATATTATGCCAGGCTGTAACAAAATCTTCCATTAAAATGGTTGTTTTGTAACTTTTTTGGGGTTATAGAACCATTTGAAAATCTTACAAAAGCTATAGATTTTCTTACCACAAAAACACACATGCTGCTGAATTTGGCAATAAATTTGAATAGGTTTACATAACTCTTGAGAGTCATTCATATACTTCTTAGGGATCTGAGAACACACCCCCCTCCCAGAATAATGACCTTCACTCTAGGAATTCAACTTTCGGTTAAAAGATTGCTTTCCATTAAAAATGAAAGTCCTCCTCAGAGAAATAACTATCAGTATGTTCAAATGTTCATTCACTCATTCAACGAATAATTATTTAACCCCAAGCAATACACTATAGGGGATATACACTGTAAATTTAAATGCAACAACTCCAGCCTCTTGTTGTCTATCTTCAAGAACCTTAATAGCTAGATGAGAAGAAAAAGAATAAGATTCTACTCAGATTTCAACCAGAACAGCTTCACATTGGTCAGCTTTGTAATGGAGTTTTATTTAAAAGAAAGGGTTTCTTAGGCTGAAAACCTCTAGCTTAGTTCAAATCCCTACCCCATTGAAATCCTTAAAAAATTTAAAAAATATTTCTTTATTTAATTTTATTTGTTAATATTTATATTTATTTATTTAATTTGACCAAAAAGACAGAGAGAGAGAAGGGGAAAGTGAGAAGGCCACCAGGTCCAGGACTCGAACCGTGGTCGGCCATGTGGGAGTCCAGCACCCTAACCACCAAGCCACCTGCTGGCCCCAAATCCTTTAAAAATTTTAAATCAATTTCTTCTGGGATATTTTGAATGATAGGAAACCTAGAACTTAGTAAAGTAGCCCACTCTATTTTCTTTTTTGATATAACTTCATTTTTATTTTTGGACGTAACTGTTATAAAGTCTTCCTTCTGTTAAACCAAAATCTGCATTTCAGTAACTTCTGCCATTGGTTCTAGTTATGTCCAGAAAACAAACATAATCTTCATTCACTTGAAAGTCCTTCAAATATTTAAAAATAACCATTTGGTCTTCCTACTCCTTTCCTTTCTCTGCTAGACATTTCTAGTTCTTTTAACCACACGTTATAGCGCTTTTCACATCACTTTTACACAGACAACCTGAACACACTGCCTGTGACCATGTAACCTGAAATACAACATCTGGGTCTAAAATGATATTCTAGTCATGGGTTGACTGTTTCAGACTTCAGAAGAATAATGAACACCCTTAGTTCATCACTCTAGACTTCTATTTATGCTCCCTAAGGTGAATTAGGTTTTCTGGCTACTGCAATATATTACTGATTCCTTTGGAATATCTGGTCATGTAAAAAATCTCCTAAGTGCTTTCTTTTCAATTGCATATGTGGTTAGAAAGGGACCAGATTGTGAAGGGCTTTGAGTACCAGACAAAGCAATTTGAACCCTATTCTCTAGGTAACAAGAAATCAGCAGTGACTTTTGAGTTGGGTGATGAATAACAGGGTGAAAAAGATACAGTTAATGGTAGCATACAGAATAGATGGCAGGGGAAAAACGTGGCTATGAGACAGTACAGTGACTGGGACACAAAACATAAAGAGGTCTTACCATCTGGCAAGTGGCTGAGAGCAAAAAATAAAAATAATAACAATACTTAAGACTTATTGACAGCTTCCCATGTGCCAGACCCTGGACTAGAGCTTTATATACATACATCTCATTGAATTTTCACTGCATTTTTATAAAATTGTCACTGTTTTATTTTTTATTATTTTATTTTTTGCTATAGGGTATGTGCATGCACTGGAGAGAGACAGAGAAGGAAAGTGAGAAATCACCCCCCGAGTGGGAAGGGATGGCCATGCAGCAACTGCTTCTCCTCCATTCTTCTCTTGGGTTTTTTGGGCATACACACACATGTGCCCCGTGTGCTTTTCAAGATGACAGGTCCAAGAACTATATGCAGAATTGGCCATGTGGGATCCAGCACCTTAACCACCATGCTACCTACTGACTCATACATTTTTTTATAAGTTTATTTATTTTTCTATGAGTAAGAGAGAGACAGACAGAACACTCCCAATAGGGAGAGACAGAGGCAGTGAGAGGGAAAATGAGAACTCATCTCCCAGGGGGGATGGCCATGCTGCAATCCCCTCTCCCCCATTCTCCTCCCAGGATCTTGGGCATGTGCACACACCACACAGCATGACTTTCAAGCCACCAGGTCCAGGACTCAAGTCACGGTCTGCCATGTGGGAGTGCGGTGATAATAACCGCTATGCCATATGCTGGCCCCAAGCCTTTATTTTCTGTAGAGAAATTTGCTTAGTTATATCCCAGTTGCTGGTGAGTGTGGAAGGAGTCTAACTCTGCGACATTGGAAAGAATTGAAGGGTAAGTGAACATTCTCTAGTTCTTATCTGGGGATGGGGAATTGAGGAGTTAAGAAGTGCTGAGGCTAGGGTCAGTTGTTGGCATGATGGTTAAGACAGTTGGATTGTATATCCAGTGTGCAATTGCGTCCCAGTCTGGCTGCTTGAGAAACAAGCTGGGCGCATATATGTGTGTGCCCAAAATCCCAACAGGAGGGACAAATCGAGGAGAAGGGATTATAGTGTAACCACCCTACATGGGGTGTACTTTTTTATTTTCTCTTTTTTTAGAAAAATAATTATTTATTTAATTTGATTTATTCATTCATTTATTTTATTTTATTTTATTTTGACCAGAGTGAGACAGAGAGAGAGAGAGAGAAAGTGAGAAAGCAAGCCATCAGGTTTGGGACGCAAACTGTAGTTGGCCATGTGGGAGTGTCCAGCGCCTTAACCACCACACCACCTGCTGATCCCCTCACTTTCCCTCTTTTAATCTCTTTCTCTCTCCAGCAAGTGCATGTGTCCTCTAGCAACTTTCTTTTCTAAGAATTATTTTATTTAACTTTATTTATTTTATTTTGACCACAGAGTAAGAGAGACAGAGAGCGAGAGAGAGAGAAAGTAAGAAAGCAAACTGCCAGGTCCAGGACCCAAATCACACTCGGCCATGTGGGAGTCTAGCGCCCATAACCACTATGCCACCTGCCAGCCCTCACCCTCTAGTAAATTTTTTTTTTTTTGAGAGGTTTTTGCTATAGGGCGTGTACACTCACCAGACAGAGACAGAGAGACAGAAAGCCAGAAATCACCCCCCCCCCAGAGGGGATGGCCATGCCGTAATCCCTTCTCCCCCATTCTCCTCTCCGGATCTTGAGCATGCACGTACACGCGCCCGGTGTGAGTTTTAAGCCAGTGGGTCCGAGACGCGAACCGCGGTCGACTACATGGGAGTCCAGCGACATAGCCATTACGGGGCGCTAACTGCTGGTCCCCTCCTCTAGTAAATTTTAAAAAAAAGGAAGTGCTGAGGCCATTGCCATTATAGAATCATCTGATTTTATATGAGAAAAGGCATTAGAAAATAACTTCAGTTCCTCCATATTACAGTCCTGAAACCGAGGCCCTAAAAGTTGAGTGATTTGTCCACTTTAATTCCAATAGCAAAGGAAAATATAAAAGGAATCCATTTCCCTAAATTTCAGGTTCTCAGAGACTCCAATAATCAAGGCCAGATTCTGGACGGAATAAGAAACTGGTACCAATTTTACCTTGAGAGTGAAACTCAGTTAAACCTGAGTCGTGTTGGGCAAACATATGGTAGATCCTTTACTCCATTTTAGAGGCTGTATTTCAGACAGTGTGATGCAGAGGACAGCATTCCTTAGGAAACCCAGAGCCCTTTTGTAGCTCAGGTTTCTTTTGATTGAAGTAACAAAGTTCATGTCTTCATCAAAAGAAGCTTCAAATCCCTAAGGTGAGATAGCTCTCACCTGGAACCAGTGGGTGTTGTTCCACTCTGGCTGGGAACAGTCACCTGGGAATTATTCCAGCAGGTGGCTTCCAAAGTCCAACCTGCTGGGTTGAAATCTGACACTGACAGCGACTCTGCGAGCTGCCGCGGAAAGCTAAACCGGGAACCAGGAAATGCACCAGCCTCTTTATGTCGAAAAACAGCTGGGCTCCCTCAGAGACAGAGCGCCATGGGAAACCGGCTCTGCTGCGGGGGAAGCTGGTGAGTAGGGTGGAAGGGTGGAGGGTCATATCTCTGTTGTGGAGGCCCTAAGAATCAGAGTCTGGACATAGTCGTCTGCCAGCCTCCCACTGCCACCTTCAGCTGCCAGCCACCTCCTGGTTCCAGCACCAGAGCGACACCTCCTTCCCTGCTCACTCTTTTCAGCAGACCTTACAAAACAAAGCCAAGCCAGCCATCTGTACAGCTGGCATTGTTTCTCTTGGTCTTCCTCATCCTACCCTTTTCCTCCTCTTCACTCCCTTCTTCTTCAACCCAGATAATAATAGTTGTAGCATTCAAGAGCTTTCTATCTCCCAGGCATGGGAGGTGATTTCTCACTTTACAGTCTCATTTAATTTTCCCAACACTTCCATTAGGTAAGTGGACTTCCCCTTCCTCCCATTTTACAGTCAGCTGAGAAATGGAGGCTCAGAGTAATTCCCTAACTTGCCCAAGGTCACATGGCTAGTAAGTAAACCAAGATTCTAACCCAGGCTCACCTGACCTCAGAAGCTTATACTTTTAAGCACTATGTAATATCACCTCCTAGATGGAGCAAATCAACTCTGGAGAAGTGTATATTTAAAAGAGCAGAAGTGTGGAGAAGGAGAGTATGCGTCCCAATACCCAAATATGACTTTTACACATATTTGCTATGTGACCTTAGGCAGGGCCCTTACTTTTCTACGTATCCTCATATGAAAAGTATAGATAACACAACCCTCATAGTTTGGCTCATGGGTTTGTTTTGGAGAGGAAAGAATATGATATATGTGAAATCTCAAATTAATTGTGGTACACTGTTATGTCTAGAGTTTTCATCACTGCTATGAACTCCTGGGCCTGGTTTTATCCTGTCTACTGCCTTCTTAGCTATATTTGTCCATGTCTGAATCAGAGCTTGATGATGTAATGTTTATAAACAAAGCATCAATATATTTAGAGACAAGTGAGGGACACTGGAAAATACATAGTATATGGAGTCAGTCCATTGGAGTCAAGTCTGTGCCTACTACTCCTTCATTTGTCCTTGCATTTATTAAACAAATATTTATTGAACACAGACTATATACCAGGCTCAGTGTTAGATGCATAAGATGTAATTATGAAAAGAAATTTGGTCTCTGCCTTCATGAATAAGATATCAAAGTTTTGGAGCCTTAGTTGTCCTCCTATCTGTAAAATGAGGACAAAAATAATATTTCCCAGAATCTTCTCAGGATTGAAAAAAAACAAATAGGGCCAGCTGGTGGCATGGTGGGAAGGGCACTGGATACCCACATGGCCAACCATGGTCCAAGTCCCAGACCTGGCAGCTTCCTTTCTCACTCTCTCTCAGGTGAGCACAGATGCCCTTAGCAAATTATTGGGCTGAAATCATGATGCATTTTTACATAGAAAAAAGTATGTCATGACTTTTTTTGACAAGCCAATAAGCAATAATAAATCAAATTAAATAAAAAATAGAATTTAAAAATGTCCATAGAAAAATGAAAAAAAAGCAAATAGCAGCCTTTAAAACTCTAGGGTATACTGATACAGGTCATCTAGAAACAGAAAATCTCCCAGAGAAGGGGAAGTAACAACTACTTCTTCACATGTTGGTTCATTACTAACGAGTTCTTTTCCAACAGTGATAGTCATTAGTAGTTGACTTCTACCAATCCCCATTAAATGCTAGGCATCATGCTAAGTACCTCACATTCACTCTTTTATTTAATCTTTACAGTAATAGCATAAGGTTTAGGTTCTATGTATCATCCTCATTTTATTAATAAGAAAATGAAGGACCAGAGAAGTTAAAAATTTGTTGAAGATTTCACAGCTAGTCTGATATCATCAGTCTGAATCGATAGCCCATTCTAGAGCTAATCATTATAATAACATCTATTTTTCTTAAAGATATTAGTAGAATGGGGCTAGCAGGTGGCATGGTTGTTAAGGCACTGGATTCCCACAGAGCCAACCATGGTTCGCGTCCCAGACCCACTAGTTTGAAAATCGTGTGAAGCACAGTGCATGTGTGCCCCAAATCCCACGAGGTGAATGGAGGAGAAGGGAGTACTGTGTGGCTATTCCCCCACCCACCCCCTTGTGGGAGGTGATTTCTCACTTTCCCTCTCCCTGTCTCTCTCCAGTGAGTGCACGCACCCTATGGTAAAAAAAAACAAAGAAAAAAAATTAGTAGGATTCGATATAATTGTTCTACAATATTCATTGTTATCTCAGTAAAACTCTAGAGTCTTAAAGACTATGACAATTGAAGATATTTTTATTTTAAAATATTCTTTGTTGTCATTGTTCTAGTTTCAGATTTTCAGCAAGGCACCAGGTCCAGGGAACTGCACTCGGCCATGTGGGAGTCCAGCAACTTAACCACTATGCCACCTGCCAACCCTCTTCGACCAATTCTTTAAAAATGGCTACAAAATTTTTCATTGATTGGATATGCTATTAATTTATTCCCCCCCCCCTATTTTTTGTAATGAGAAGTAATGTTACAATGAGTATTGAAAGTGGAATTCAGAGAGTTCTCTTCCCTCCCTCTTTCTTCATCCTGTCTCCTAGATACATAGCTGCTAGTCCAGTCGGGCCTCTTGAACATCTTGTGACCATTACCTTCACCTCATGGAATTGGCCTGCGGCTGGGGCCATTCCAGAGGTATGCACACCCCTCCCACTTTGACATGACTAGATTAGGGGCAGTAAACTCTAAACATGCTCCGCTGATTGTTAACTGAAAAGCTAACCTTTCCTGTAACTTTCACACCATGTATGTACAAACCAGACTCCTGTCCTGGTGCCAGAGTCTGCACAGATCATTAATTGCTTTATGAAGGCTTTGTTCTTAGCATATAAAACCTAACTCTGCCTCTGGCTGCATGGCCATCAGTGGAACCTTGTTTCCTCTAATGTGAGTAAACTCATGTCTTCTGTTGGACCTCCAGGTGTGTTCTTTGGAGTCAGTAAATATTATGGACAAGCCCTCTCAGATTTGGAGCTCCCCAGGACAAATATCCATTTCTGTACTTATATAATTATAACACAGAATTATTATATGACAGGGTATATACACTTGTGTTTAAGGCTTTTTATACTCACTACTGATTGCATTCCAGAAGGATTGCACCAATTTTTATTCCTACTGCCACCATAGGAAAGCTCCCATTTAGGTTCCTTAATTCTGGTCTAAAAATAAAATCCTGTCACCTATGACTCTAACTGAACACTCCAGGTTGTACCCAGGTATTGTGCGATGTCCAAGTAAGAAACAGGTTCTGTTTGTCAAAACTCAACAGCCCTATTTAAGGATTTTAGAATTGTTATTTTATCTATCCATTTAAGTAGAAGCAGGAAAACAGTCGTGACAAAGGGCAAAGAAGTAGATGATTCTCAGGGAAGAGTATAGAGAAGGATTGCAAGAGAACAGAGAAGCATGACATTAGTGAGACACAGAAATGGTTTATTACCTGTTGATGAGAACATGCATAGTATTCTCAACTGGACTGGTCTGAGAAGTATTTTCATGTTGGGTAAATTCTTTCTATAAGCCAAGTGATAAATAGTGATCAAATGTTTAAAAATATAATGAGAATAAATAATAATAATCTGGGGGAAAAAAAAAGGAGATGATTCTCTAGTTTCTAGGATAAGGCAGTGGTAACATAAAGCCAGAGTTGAAATGGCAGAAAAAGAAATAGAACGACACAGAGGTTCTTTGTCTTCTGTAGAGTTTGGATGGAGACTCTAACTGCTCTCAACCCGGCAAGCTGCTTCAACAGTTAAAAAAAAAAAAAATTGAACAACCAGGGGGCGTA